TACAAGGAGGCATTTGGCACATTCTCCTGACTGCCTTCCACAACAAGGCCGCCACCCCTGGGGTGCAAATCTAGGTCCCAATGCCTCCTGGGGACTATTTGGCGTAGGTATTGAGGAGGACAAGAGGACTGTAGTTTCCTCCGCTCCTGGCTGCTACCGGGGGCCCCCAAGGGAACGGAGCCCAGCCCCTCCTCCCCTCCTCCCCTCATTGTCTCTTGGAGGCTGGCTGGGATTGGGGCGAGCAAGATTGCTTCACTGTTTGTGCATGGGATTCTGTATCCTACCTCAAAGCGCATGTTTTGCAAAACGTAGGAAAACCGTGAGGTGGAGCAGAACTAACAAGCCCAGGCCTCTTTAGTTCTGCACCGCCTCTAGCTTGCTCTGCATTCTGCCCCCTACACCCTAGCAAGTGCTTGATGATCTCTTTTGAATTTCAATTTCCCTTCAATGCAAGAGCAGGGAAAAAGCTGTTGTTGCTCCTTTTCTGTTCTCAGTGTTTCCTAAAACTGGGCTTCCCACAGAAGGAACCAGGAGTGAGGGCTCTTCTTGTTACGACGCCAAAGCAGGGGAAGGGGTCTGCTACCTCTCCCGGTGGAGAACAGCTACCTCCTAAAAGATCTCCTTGCTCACCTCCACCCCCATTGAGTGTGACAGGTCGTATATCTGATTTCGCAAAGTGAATTGGGAAATCATATCTCTGTGGTCCCATCTGGGATTATTTATTTCACCGTGTCCATAGCCAGTTAAAGCTGTCAAACTGTATGTATGACACTGTTGCTATCCACAGGTTGAGGTCATCTCTAATGAAACCAGAGCCACAGTTAGCCACAGCAAAGCCCTTATACCAAGGTGCCCAGAAGTGTCCAACAGTCAGTCACCATATGGATTTAAAAAAAAAAAGCTGGGCAGTTTAAGCTGCTGCTGTTGGTGGTGGTGGTGGTGGTGGTAGTGGTGGTGGTAATGGTGGTGGTGGTGGTGGTAATGGGGTGGTGGTGGTAATGGTCCCCTAGGTTCACTTTGTGAGTCTTTAGGCTTGGCTGCTTAGAGGCCCCATGGCTCCTTGAGCAAGTGGAGGCAGCAGGACCAGGGTGGAGATGCCAACTGGCCTTAGGTGGTGAAGACAGGAGTAGCTGAGCTGCCTGACTCAGGGACCACCATTCTAGTAGAGTGTGCTCAAGAGATTGTGTAATGAGTAGGGGGCCTATCTTTATTTATGTTTGGACAGGTGTTTGGAGAAAGCACGCAGCCACTCTTACCGAGGAAAGACCCCCCTCCCTCCCCTCGGTCAGTTCTGTTTCCCTTTTGACTCTCTGAGACTAAGCTGCTCAGCTGGTGGG